TTTTGTTTGCGATTTTTTTGAGAGAAAGAAGCAGGGCCGGGAAATTTTCAAACTCATCTCACTCACAGATTGAGAGTTTTTTTTCCTCAGTCTGGTTTTTGAGGGTGAAAATATTACCCTGGTTGGGTTGAACATTTTTGAAATAGACTTTGGAGTTTTAAATAATTTTTTAAAATGAAAATGAAAGTGGACGTTTAGAGTCGTTGCAAGTTTTTTTTTTTATTGAGGTGTTTTGTGCCCGGGCAGAGCAATCCAAAAAATGATGAAGCTGAAAAATTGAGATTTCTGGAATGTTATTTAACTCCGTGTGCAGAACTTTGAATGTGACCAGCTTTCTGAATTTTGCGTTCTCTGACCATGGAACTTAGATTGCAAAGTCAGGCGAAACTCAGATTTCTGCTGTTTGATCCTTCACGCTAGCCATTTTTGAGATTGTGAGCTTCTGAACTAGGCTGTTCTCGAACCAAGATTACGGAATGTAATCCATGTATTCTTTTCTTTGAAATAATTCTTGAGTTTTGATTAGACCTCATTATTGTCCAAGTTTAGGTTCACGTTTTTCTGCACGGTTCAAATTTTTCATTTTTTCTTTCACATTTTTCTTCACTTTTAAATTCAGGATAAAATACCGTGTAATCGTTTGAACGAGTGGCGCATACATACGTCATTTACGAATCCGTTGCGTTCATTTATCCGTGAACAGTCCAGGAACGCTCGGCATGTTGAGTATTCGACGCAGGCATTTTTCAAATTCTATGAAATTCTCACTCGCTTTTCGAATCTTTGCTTTCCTGTCGAAGATAGTGAAAGCTGCTTCAAGTAATGTTTTCATTTTCGTCTATTCTTTATAAGGTTTTTTTTTTTTCATTGTTTCATTAATACCAGTGCATTCGTTTGTCTCAGTGTCACTGATGCTAGCTTATGCCAAAGGAGTAGGATAACTACCGGTTTGCTTCTAAATAACTCACGGAAGACTTATTCATCGACTTTCTTGCCAGTAATAACCAGATTTTTTCCAGTAGCCAGACTCTTCTGAACCAGATAATAATGGCGAGAAGGAGTA